AACATGCTATGTTTTGTATACCTTAAACGGTAGTCATAATTGTAAAATGATAAATGTCGTTTTGGGTAAAAGGGTCTCGATCTCACTTGTACATATTGAATGACTACACGTGCTATGTTTTTGTATACTCTGCCCAAAAAATGGCACATCTACGTGTAAAATGACAACATGTCATTTTGTAAACCATGTACCCTAAAACCTAAACCCTATAACACCCTCTGTTTAAAATAATAAATGTCGTTTTGGGTCACGCAGTATCGATTTCAATTTGAAACTAGTAAAACTGTGTTTGAAACATCATACATGACTCGTGCACATTGAATGACTACACGTCCTTTGTTTTGGATACCATACTTGCTACTTACATTTTTCTTAATTGTCAAGTGTAATGTATTTTCCTACTGGATTATATTAGTGACTCATTATAGTTTGAACAAATACGTCGGCTGCAACGTCAAAATATAGTTAAAACTTTCATTCTAAAATTTCACGTGGTTACGGGTATGAATGAACCAAAACGAACACTAAATGAGAAAAAACGTCAACCATACATTTAAAACAACCAGATGCCATTTCAGGGTCACAGGGTATCGATTTTACTCTGAAACTAGTAAAACTGTATTTGAAACTTCATACATGACTCGTATATGTTGAACGACTACACATGCTATGTTTTGGATATCATACTTGCTACTTACGTTTTTCTTTATTGTCAAATGTAGTGTAGTTTTCTACCGAATTATGGAGTAACTCACTATAGTTTGATCAAATGTATCGATCTCAACGTCAAAATGTAGTTAAAACTTTCACTCCTAAACTTTTACGTGGTTACAAGCGTGAATAAATCGAAACGAACACTAAATAAGTAAAAAGGCCAGACGCGCATTTGAAATGACCAAATGTCATTTTGGGTTACGGGGTATCAATTTCACTCCAAAACTAGTAAAACAATGTTTGAAACATCATACATCACTCGTACACATTGAACGACTACATGTGCAATATTTTGGATATCATACTTGCTACTTACGTTTTTCTTTATTGTCAAGTGTATTATAGTTTACTACTGAAATTATAGAGTTACTCATTATAGTTTGAACAAATGTGTCGATCGCAACATCGAAATGTAGTTAAAACTTTCATCCCCAAACTTTCACGTGGTTACAGGCTTTAATGAACAGAAACGAATACTGAATAAGTAGAAACGTTAGTTATACATTCAAAACAGTCGGATGCCATTTTGGGCTACGGGGTATTGATTTCACTCTGAAACTAGTAAAACAATGTTTGAAACATCATACATGATTGGTACACATTGAACAGTCAAGTGCTATGTTTTGAATACTGTACTTGCTACTTACGTTTTTCTTTATCGTGAAATTTAGTGTAATTTACTGACGAACAATATTGTTGGATATTATAAAGTGAACTTTTGTATCAACTTAGTATCCAAATATAGTGAAAACTTGTATTAGTTCATTTCATATGGATATTAGAGGTGTCAAAACGGACGGACCGGCCAGACCCGTGAAAATCAACCCGGGACAGCGGGCCGACCCGTGACCCGAGCGGGAGGTTCACGGGTAAGGAGGTGTGAACCGCGGGGCTTTGCGGGTTGCACCTTCACGGGCCGCGGTTAACCTGCTGACCCGTGAATTTTTTTTTTTAAATTTGAAAAAAAGGGGGGGAGAGAGCCGTTGAACGTGGACAGTTTTCATCAATAATCTTAATTGCTAGACAGTTTTCATCATTTAGAGACGATCCATTTTTCTTTCAAATTATTCACTCAATGGAGGAAAAGTTTAAAAAATATTATAAAAACATGCTACTAATTTTTCCAGTGGCAGTTGTAATGGATCCTCTCATTACGTTGTTTGGAATTCATTGTGTTTTAGAATCACTTTTTGAAACATTAGCTTTTAACATAAATATTACAAATCGACAATTTGATATTTTTATTAATGAAATGTATAACAACTATTTTATTAAATATGGTAACAATGAAAATATTTCTTCTTCTACAAACTCTAGTACAACTTTTAAAGGCAAATCTTCTCTTTTTCTCCATAATAGCTAAGAAACGTAATGTTCTTGGTTCTTCATCTACAACTTCAACTATAAATCCAAACACCACAGCTGCTGAATTAGAAATATATTATCAATTTGATCATTATAGTTTAATATCTGAAGATGAAGTGGATAATTTAGATATTTTACGATGGTGGAAATTAAATGAGCGGACATATCATGTATTATCTAAAATGGCACGAGATATAATAACAGTTCCAGTCTCAACAGTGGCATCCGAGTCTGCTTTTAGCGCATGTAACATGGTATTAGACGAAAGAAGATCTAGACTTAAAGAAAATATTTTGGAAGCTCTCATATGCGTGAAAGATTGGATATTCGCGGATCGAAAGATGTAAGATAAAATTATTGATGATGTTGTTGAAGATTTCAAAAATCTTGCAGTTTTTGAAGATTGATTGGAAATAAATATTAAAATCTATAATTTTTGAACAACTAAATTATAGTTAAGACTTAAGTAGGTGCCAACCCAGTTGGGATGTACTTAAACTATAAATTATAATAAAAGTAGGTGATAACCTAGTTGGGATGTACTTATACTATAAATATTTGATAATAGTAATTAGAAATGCATTTAGTTGTTATTTGTTTAAGTGAAATTTAACTTTGTAAAGTTATAAATAATTCATGTAACATTAAATTTGAATTATATGTATACATTTCTTGGTATAAATATGAATTTATCACTTTATTCAATTCTCAGTTTACATTTAATAAAATGAATATTTTTTGTTATAAATATGAAAAATTCTATATTTTTATAATTTTATTTATACAATAATACGGGCCAAATCGGAATAAACCACGACCTGCGCGACCTGTGACCCGCATGGGCTCGATTTGGATGGATCAGCGGGCGGGTCTGGGTTGTAATCCAAAATTTGTGGGCCGACCCGAAACGGGCCCGAAACCCGTACCAAGCAGGCTTTTTTTTCACGCGGGCCCTTACCGGGCTCATATGTTGACAGGCCGACCCTACCCGGACCACCCGAATGACACCTCTAATGGATACGAGTAAATATAAAGTAAAATGAATATAAAAATAGTTGAAACGATACATTGCGGTTCAAAACAACATCATGCCATTTAGAATCATGGGACCTTGATCTCACGCCAAAATAAGTTGATCAAATCTTGGAATATCTGGAAGACATATACAAGTAAAACGAGCTAATTTGTTGAGTATATTATCATATAATTGCAATACAATGAGATTTGGGTTACTTACCTTCGTTCGTAATTAAGTATAATGTCGTTTACTCACAAAACAATAGTGTTGGTTATTATCGCGTGAACTTTGTATAGACATTGGTGTCCAAATGTAATGAAACTTGTTTTTGTTTGTGCAAAAGAATGCAAATAAAGTGAAACAGAGATGATATTAGTTGAAATGACCGCAAAACATTTAAAACGGCAGCTTGACATTTTGGTTTACGAGGTCTCGATTGAAACTTGTTTTTGTTTGTGCAAACGAGTGAAAATAAAATGAAACATTTATGAAATTAGTTGAAATGACACCTAAGCATTTAAAACGACAACTTGATATTTTGGGTTACAAAGTGTCGATGTCACTCTAAATATCATGAAAACTTATCTACGTTCATTTTTTATGCGGGTACAAGATAAAATAAAGTGAAACGAACACGAAATTAGTTAAAACGTCATCAAACCGTTTATAACGATAACATGCCATTTTAAGTTACAGATTCTCAATGTCACTCCAAGTATAGTTAAAATTTATTTTAATTAATTTTCATGTGAATACGAGGGAATATAAAGTGATACGAATATGAAATTAGTTAAAACGGCACTCAATCGTTTATACGGCAGCACGCCGTTTTACCGTTTGTTTTAAATTGTATATAGAAAGTGAGAATGAAAGTGGGGATTTATGTTTGGGGGATTTGGTAAATTTTGGCTTCGAATTGGATATTTTAGATATTTCAAATGAAGAATATTTAAGGCTTTTAATAATGATAAAATAGACTAAAGACTAATTGATCAAAGAGTATTGACTCTAGACTATTCTACCAAACATTATTATTGATTGGGCTTTTTAAGCAAATTCCCCTAGTCTTTTATGTATAAGACTCTCGAAAATATCTACAATAGCTATTTTTCGGATCATGTTACTGCGATCATCAAAGTTTGATAAATATTTCGTATAAAGACGGTGTTATTTGACGACATTGACGTACAAGATGAATTGATACAAGAATTGAAATCAAGAGAGCAGCTATACTCTTTTTTCTAAGCTCAAATTTTGTTCCATTGAATTTTTTTTGACAAGGTTTATTGAGTCAGTCATATTGTAACGTGTCGAATGGGGGAGTGTTGTAATTATTATTTTATTAGTGAATGATAATTATGTTCTTGCAGTCCTAATTTTTACTACAATTGTATCCATAATTTTTCTCTATAAATATATAATTTTGGTTCTCAATAAAATACACAATTCTATTGAATATTCTACTTTCTTCTATTTTCTCTCTAGTTTATAACACAAATATAATTGTTCAGTTATTTTTTTTTTTTTTTGCGTGTGAATTGTGAATATGACTTTTGACCATTAAAAGATGGTAGTATCTATCATTTCAAATGTTAGTAGGAATAAGTCGAGTTTTTAATTCCAAATGAAATTTTCCAGATTGTTTTTTGCTCTGTTTAGCATGCTTTTAATGAAAATTATTCGAAGTACAATACTCAATTCCCACGAATCATAGATTAAAAATTCTTAATTATTGTTAATATCCGCGAAACCATTCTACGGATAACAAAGTCAATTCAAAATGCCGTGCTCTTTTATACATTGAAAAACCACCTAAATTCTTCTGCAATCATTCAACGAAAGACGCCCCAACAAAATTCCACGAAAGCCAAACCCACAAATTTCTTCACCTCCATCAATAATTATGCTTCCTCCTCTCTTCAGATCCATATTCACTTCTCTTCTGCTAATCTTCCTGCTTTTTTCCAACTGGGTCTTCTCAGAAGATGACGTTAAGTGCTTGCAGGAAGTGAAAAACTCATTGACTGACCCAACAGGGAAGCTTAATTCTTGGAGATTCTCGAACTCTTCCGTTGGATTTATCTGTAGTTTTGATGGGGTTACGTGCTGGAACGACCGCGAAAATCGGCTTCTCGGCCTTCAACTCCGGGACTACAGCCTCGCCGGAAAAATCCCGGATTCTTTACAGTTCTGCCACAACCTCCAGAATCTCGATCTCTCCAGTAATACTCTTTCCGGTTCGATCCCCTCTCAAATTTGTACTTGGTTGCCTTATTTGGTTACTTTAGATTTATCCCATAATCATTTGTCTGGTGAAATTCCAGTCGATCTTGCTAATTGCTTGTATTTGAATAATTTGATTTTGGATGATAATAGATTGTCTGGGAATATTCCGATTCAGTTTTCGAGTTTAGGAAGATTGAAAAGATTTACTGTTGCTAATAATGAATTATCCGGGAGGATTCCTGAGTTTAATTATGATTTAGATCTTGATTTTGGGGGGAACAGTGGGCTTTGTGGAGGATCTTTGGGAAAATGTGGGGGTTTGAGTAAGAAGAATTTGGCAATTATTATTGCTGCCGGGGTTTTTGGTGCTGTAGGCTCTCTGTTGCTAGGGTTTGGTTTATGGTGGTGGTGTTTCAGTAGGAAAAGAAAGAGAGGGTATGGAATTAAAGGGAGAGATGAATTTAGCAGTTGGGTTGAGAGATTGAGTGCTCACAAGCTTACTCAAGTCGTGTTGTTTCAGAAACCTCTTGTGAAGGTTAAGTTGTTGGATTTGTTGGTGGCCACTAATGGTTTTAGCGCCCAAAATGTTATAGTCTCAACCAGGACGGGGACGACCTACAAGGCGGTTTTGCCAGATGGGTCGGCACTTGCGATTAAGCGACTTAATACTTGTAAGATGGGGGAGAAACATTTTAGGATGGAGATGAATAGGTTAGGACAACTGAGGCATCCAAATTTGGTGCCTCTATTGGGGTTTTGCTTGGTGGAGGAGGAGAAGCTCTTGGTATATAAGCATCTTTCAAATGGGACTTTGTCTTCGATATTGAATCGTAATCCGGGTGCTTTGGATTGGCCGACTAGGTTTATGATTGGTTTGGGTGCTGCACGGGGACTTGCTTGGCTTCATCATGGTTGTAACCCTCCCATACTGCATCAAAACATTAGCTCCAACATTATTCTCCTTGATGAGGATTTCGATCCTAGGATAATGGACTTTGGGTTGGCAAGGCTCTTGACTTCTTCAAAATCTGATGATAGTAGTTTCGTCGATGGGGATTTAGGTGAATTTGGGTATGTAGCTCCTGAGTACTCAAGTACAATGGTTGCTTCTCTTAAAGGGGATGCTTACAGTTTCGGAGTTGTACTTCTTGAGTTAGCAACGGGACAAAAAGCTCTTGAAGTTAGTACAGCCAGAGAAGGATTTAAAGGTAATTTAGTGGATTGGGTAAATCAGCTCGCGAGCTCTGGTCGAATCAAAGATGCTATTGATAAAAGCCTTTGTGGAAAGGGCCACGATGAGGATATCGTGCGGTTCTTGGGAATCGCATGTAATTGTGTCATTTCTCGCCCCAAGGATAGGTGGTCTATGTATCAGGTTTATGAATCATTGAAAAACATGGCCGAGGAACACGGATTCTCAGAACAGTATGACGAATTTCCTCTACTATTCCATAAACAAGATACCGAAAGTCCCATTTGACTTTGGGATATTTGAAAAGATTCTCGCAGAAGTTTCCACAACCCGTGGTATGTTCCCAGAAGCAGACATTTTTGTATTTACCTTTTAGTGCTTTACTCTCTCGCGATCCCTACTCTAAAACCCGTAACATATTATAACTGTATTTTGTATAATATGATATCGTGAATAAAGTGTAATCTATTTGCTTGAAATTTGTAGTAAGAAAAGGTACTTCCGGTTGTCAATGTTTATTTGCTGTCTTAACTGTAGCCCTGAAATGTTTCTTTGAAGATTGTGAATTGAACCTATTGCATATGTTGAACCTCATTTCCCATTTTTGTTCTTCCAGTAAATTTCTTAGCCATTATGCCTTATTGCAGAATTTTTTTCCATTTTTTATATATGTATATCATTTGAATAATCATACTGCTGAGGATCAAGCACAACTTTTAGGCAATAGGGCATGTTTGGTAAAAAAATTGATATTTTATAATTTGTGGGTCCCCATCTTATAAGATAGCAACCCTTTTTGCCGAACATACTCGTAGTCAGTGGTCAAAGAAACTGTGGATTTTCAGGCTTGAAATGAGAATGATGTGTAGGAGTTTTTGCATTATGGTATAATTCTTTTATGACTCAAAACATTTTTAGGATGAATATGACTTTTTTGGTCGAGAAGAAAAATTGAAATCTTATCGATCCCAACCTTGTTTGACAATAACTTTTGTGGTGAACGCCTTGCTTGACCATGTCTTTCCTTGTAACATTTTTCTGCTTCTGTTAGAGGATGTTTGGCTAAGCTAAAAAGTTTTCTTATAAGCCACTTATGAGTGAATTAGTAAGTCTGCTTCTGATTCTAATTTGTAATTGGGAAATTTACAAAAAATGGTCAATTCGATGCTTATCAATTTAAAAATGTCTAATTTTGATAACTCTTGAAAAAATGGCCAAATTTGGTACCAAATTGTTTATTATACCCTCGATGAAAAATGAAGCATTTTTTTTTTTTCAATTTGTCACGAATTTTGAAAAGAATAAGTAGCTTTCATGAAAAGTTACATTAATGTTAGCTAGCCCATGTTTGGACCACATTATTTTTTCATTCTCATTCTTCTACTCATTTTCAACCACACAATTTTCAATAAAATAATATTTTCAATCACATGAATAACTTTTCATTCTTTTTCAACCACATATTCTCCATCACATCACTTCAAAAAAATGCATTCTCACATTTTAATGTGTACCAAACTGGCTCCTGATATCAAATGGATTTATTTGCTTTTATTATCTATTAGGTATTGACCAAGAATTTTGGAAAAAAATGAATAAGATGAAGTAGAAAAGTCGTCAACACTAAAAAATAGTTATATGTTTCAAATTCATAAGAAAATCGTATAATTTCATTTCAAAAAATTTAATCTTATCCAAATTTGCAATTGATTAGACTTTTTACAATTCTCGGTAGAAGGTAATTTTTTTTTTTAATCTTGTTTTTGTTGATAAGTTGTTTTTAATTGTTGTAATTCTTGACATTTCCTAACGTTCTCAACATTTTAAAATCTGTTATTGACATTTGGATCATATTTAACTTGACATTTAACATTTCATTTGTTGAGAACAAGATTTTGTCCTGAACATGAAAGTTCTCTACATTTCATAATATTCTTGACATTTTAAGTGTACTTCTCGACATTTCATAAATTTTTTATTTAGCTACTTATAGGGAAAAGTGAGCATTTAATACATGATTGACGTGGTACTTTTTAAAATGAGTAGTATATGTTATGTGTCAGGTTATCATTGATCAATACAATTTTTAATTTTATAAATAATTTTGTCTTCATTGAGAAATTTAAAATTGTTAATGAGGGCATTTTTGGTCTATATTATAGTAAAATGGTCTTTCAAGAAATTTTGAACATTGTTACAAATGACTATGTAAAAGTGGAAAATAGAAGAAATCAATAGAATTGTGTATTTTATAGAGAACCAAAATTATATATTTATAGGAAAAATTATGGATGCAATGGTAGTAAAAATTAGGGTTGCAAGGACATAATTGTCATTCACTAACAAAATAATAATTACAACACTCCCTTTTGAATGACACGGTACGAAATGACTGACTCAATAAACCTTGTCAAAATTCAATGGGACAAAATTTGAGCTTAGAAAAAGAGTATAGCTACTCCATTGATTTCAATTCTTGTATCAATTCATCATTGTCTTGTACGTCAATATCGTTAAATAACACGGTCTTTATAAGAGATATTTATCAAACTTTGATGATCGTAGTAACATGATGATCCGAAAAATATCTATTGTAGATCTTTTCGACAGTCTTATACATAAAAGACTATTATTTTGAGGATAAATATTTTGTATGTTATGAACATTCATTACACAAAGAATATGCATCGTTAAAATTTTATTGGGAAGAACCTCGTGGCAGAAATCCTAATGAAAAAAAATTATTACATTTATTTTTTTTGGTACACTACAAAAGTTATCTAGTTAAAAACCTTGCTATGAAAAATCAAAATGACAAAACGTTGGTCAAGGGAAAAAGAGTACAACACGTATTTACTCTCCTCATGACAATATCACTTGAATTATATACTTCAAGCATAAAATCCTTCAAGTATAGTATTAAAATTATATAAGAAAAGTTGGCTATAATTATATTTATTATATACATATATGGGGTTGGACATGGTCCAGTTCGTTCGATTTTAAGGAGAATCAAACTGAACCCGAATTTTCAAGTATTTAGTACATAGAACCGTCGTATTCAAATTTAAGAATGGAACTATTCGGGTTCCATTCTGTTTTGGAATTCCTTACAATAATTAAATTTTTTTTATATTTACAACAATACTACATTAATTCAACTAATGATATGTTCAATTTTAAATCTTACAAAAAAATGTAGTCCAATTCCGTGATATCTTTTGTGCATCTCTTTGTTGAGTTCTCATAAATTTGACAGTTAAATTACAAGAAGAGGAAGATGACGAGCTCACAATAATAAAGAGAGGCTTCCAATTCGATTTCTCCAGACACAAATGACACTACGGTAGAATAAGAAATTTTGAAAAAAATTCGTCAATTTGATTAATTGGATTTTGGCTGAAAATTAGAAATAGAAAGATCATATTTTATGTTTGACCTAAATTAGTGAGTTAGCAAATTTATTTATTAAAAAAATAATTTTTTTGACTTATTTAAGATAAAAAATTGGAGATATTCGATTATTCGGTTCTTGGTTAAGATACTTTTTCGAGTATTTAATTTAAAAAAAAAACCGCTCGATTTGGTTCAATTACATTCAAATCCGAATCGATCGTTTCGATTCGAGAGTTTTGTCTAATTCTATACATATCAAATTTCATGCATTGTCAAACTCATAAAATAAAGACTTATAATTAAATCCACTACATGATAATTTATGATTGTGTTTGACACCCATTTTGGGAAAAAAATAAATTTTTGAATGGTGATTGATGGAAGAATGTGTGGTTGAAAAGTAATGAAAAGTTTTAGATTTGTGTATAATATTATTTCATTTAGAGAATGTGGTTGAAATGTAAACAGAAAAAAAAATGAGAATGAGAATGGGTGTCAAATAGGGCCAAACTCTGTGAAATTTATTATGTAAAGAGTCGTACATTTCATATTACGACTTAACTTCTCTTATTTCTTTTTCTCATAAGTATACACCTTTAAATTTTCGGACTATATATCCAAAAATTTAAATTTCTCCAGCAAATTCAATTTAGGATTGCGTCCCTTTTATTTGGCAAATCATTACTTTGATTAATATATTTCGACGATCCTAACTATATGATACATTATATCATGTGCAAAAGTGTTGTAGACATTTTTTTTCTTTTTTCGATTCTATTTTTTTCTTTAATTACATAACTTATTGAGATATTTCAATTTTCAACATTTTCAAGTATCGAATTTCTTTTGGAGATTTACATTTGTTATGTCTATATACTTTCCAAAAGTATACGCCTCCTAAATAGGACCATCTTCATTTTTCTCTTTTGAAGAATTTTGTAATAGAATCAAATGTATTCACGCTTCAAACGTGCCAAAGTTATATCGGATATAATTTTAACAAATTGTCCTCCCAAGACGTTAATTCGAGTCGGAGCATTTTAAAATAGGTACATGAGATATTGTTAATCTCTTTTGTCAGTAAATGCATCTAAGTAAATTATTTTTCCAACTTCTAATTCGAATTGTATTTTACGAGAATTTAGATAATATAATGATGCATTTGTACATTATTTCCAATTTCTTCCTCTAATGCTGAGAGAATTGACAATCAGCAAACTTCATTATAAAATATCCCTATTAGGGTTTGAGATTTTGTATAAGAGCTCAAACAACGCATTTATTTTCAACGTTCTTTACTTTTCATCTCAGTACATGATGGTCGATCAATTGTACATATATTTTCCACCATGAAAATAATTAGATGAAGAAATCAGACTCTAACCATAAGCCATTATAATGTGGAAGACTTGATATTGACATGATGCATAATAGCATTCCCTAAATAAAAATGAAAATATTTTTTTCTCAATTAAATTAATTGAAGGCATTTAACAAGTGATATTGTTAAATCATTTATTGACATCATAACCAACACTTATTAGAAGGTTGAGGTTTACGCTCACTAGTATTTACAAAGACACCGCCTTCATTGTGTAATCTAAAAATTATGCTCGTAATTTAAAATTTAAGCAATAATTTCGTAAACGCAACATCCTTTTAGAATATTGATTTGTATAAATTGATTCAAACAATTCAACAATATTCTTCTGAACTATTTTAATATTATAATCGTGTTTCGTTCCAAACAACAATTGATTATCCTCCTAATATATTAATTTAATATAAAAGTATACTTCTTTTGGAGCAATATGTCAATATTTTTTTGAAATAATAAAATTGTAATATCATGCTCTTCTATGTAATATTCTTCGAGAGTAATAAGTTAATAT